CAAACAAATAATAATAAAACAGGTAAAATAAGCTAGGTTTAACCCTCTTGAGGATACATGTCCCCGGTGAAGTCTCCATTTGTGTCGCGGTGAAAAATTATGGAGACCAAGCTATTGAGAAACTTGATTCACAATGATTTAAGAAGTCACCACCAAACTTTATTGTTTCCAAGGAAAAGCGAAAATATTGAAACCCTAATTGTTTAACATGTAATGCAAGAAGTAAAGACTAAAAGCAAAGCATAAGGAAGAGATCCAAGGTATGATGGTTGGTTATACAAAGGGAAGGTATTAGCACCCTATGTATCTATAGTACTCTATATGAACCACTTATAATATCTGTTTTTTTTTTGTTTAAAATTGTTTGTTTGTTAAATGAGTATGGATGGGGGAAAAGAAATATGTTTTAGGATATTTTTGTTTGGAAAGACATAGTCTTATACCGACGTACCAATTAAGGATCAAAACCTCATAGTTCTTGGTAAAAATAACAAAAGGGTTTGTTGCGGTTAATTTTAGGAGAGGAAAAATATTTCGTCATCTTTTAGAGAGAAAGCTCAACTAATACCACCACAAGTATGAGAAGATGGATCTTGCATCATCATGAAGGAAGGGCTAATAACTTAGATATAAAGATAAAAAAGTTTCCAACTAACATCTTCATATGGAAAGAATCACATTTACTTCAACAATTACTATGGGGATAGGAGAATCATATCTCAACTATAAAGAGGATTTATATCTAATATCTTTGAGAAAAGGTTTTAAACTGAAAAGTCAAGTGGCAAAAATATTTGAGTGAGGTTAAGTCACTTTTAGTCTTTTGAAATTGTTTTGATATTCTTAAGTATATTGAAGCTTTTGATTAAAAAGAAAGTTTGAAAATGCAAGGACATAAAGTCAAGGTTTTTATATGAAAGTGGTGAAAGTTTAAAAATGATTTTTTAGGGTTAGAAATTTCCTTTAGAGCATATGAGAATACATAGGGTGATTATTCACAAAGGTTTTTATACAAAGGGGAATGCATACGCTTATGACTATAAAGTCAATAATACTATCTTTTTCCTTGTATTTTTGGGGCACAAGTATAACATTTAATTACTAACACAATAACAAACACATATCACAAGGGGGGGGGGGGGGGGGTGGCATGTTTATCAAGTAAAAATTGTGACAAAAGATAAACAAACAAGTATGGTATCACTTTGGATTAAAAAAGTTTATGAAGGAAATACATCCTTAAAGGGGAAGACAAAACTGTAAAAATATAAATGAGTTTGATGTTTGAATCAATATATACATCACAATCAAGACGAAAGTCATGGAGCATAGTTTTGATTTGTGAACATGTTTCAAGGTTTATTTTGGATTTGAGTGGGATAACCCTAAAATAAACTCAAGCTATCATGAAATACTTACTCAAGAGTCAAGATATCAAGTAAGTATCAAGATCTATCATGGTAAGATCAAGCCTTGTGAGAAAAGTTGAAAGTTTAATCAAAAGATATAAGGAAAGTCCTTAAAAACCCTTAAAAAGTACATATTTTGATTTAATTGAAAAATGATGAAATAAATAATATTTTTGTGATATTTTTTTATATATTCATAAAATAGAGGTGATAAAATAAGAGTGTGCAAAAAAATGGAAGAAAATAGATTAATTTGATTGGTGAAAAAATTAAATGAAAATTTCAAAAAAGAAGTGAAAAAAGATTATAAAAAAAAACAAGTTGCAAAAGTAGGGGTGGGTACCAGCAGATTCGAATCCACTCACTATAGGTTAGGGGTGCGCGTTTCTACCATTGGAGTGGCTGTTTCACCCAGTCATATAACAACTACCACTAAATATAAAATAAACTAGTTTTCAAAAAATTGAAGATGAACTTCATTTTCTTCCTCGCGCCAACAACAACAACATTTTTGATTTTTCTAAAAGCTTCATTTCTCATTCATTTTAAAAAGTTTAAACACCAAACTTGCTTGAAATTTAATCACGAATGCAACCATATAACTTATTTTAACCAACACTCAAAGATAAGCAAGAATTTTTGTTGTTACCAAAAACAAACCCTAACGGTTCAGAGGCAAAATTCTCAACACACAGACAATATAAATGAAAACTAAGGACATGGTTAGTTTCAGGGAAATCATATCTACATTTTATCTTTTGAAATCGAAAGTAAATTATGCATGGATAAGAATATCACAGTTTGAGTTTTTTACCTCTTTGGAGAAAAGTACAAGGCTTCTTATAACAGCTCTAAGTGCAATATGATGATTGATTAAGCTTTCTAAGACCTCAAGGAACCTATTCTAATTCTTACTTAATGTTGAAAGTGGATGAATCTTCCCAACCAAGTCAACTTGCAAGGTTCGGTTATGGAGTTTGAAGGATGATGATAATGGTGTTACATAAGTGTAACATGTGTTTGAATGAGTTATATATGATGTATATGAGGTGTATAGATGGTTGGTTTGCACATATATTGCAAGGGTGATGAGTTTTGAAGTTAAGGTTTTCAAAAGCTCAAAAATGAAGGTTTTGGCCAATTCTGATTTGAGAGAGATTGAGGGGTGTTTTTTATGTTTATGAAGTGTAAATGAGCTCTCTATTTATAGATAAAACTCAGAGGTGATGAGATGAATTGGTTCTCAAGTTGTCAAGTTATGGTTTTGGTTAAAATGCAAATATCAAGTTATGTCAAGTTTTCCATGGTTCCAAGATGAAGTACTAAAGTTGCTGGTATAGAGAGATTACTTTCCATGGTTTATGGTGGAGTATAATCAGAAGTAAGCAAGGTATGGGCTCAAGACAAACTTTGTACCAAAAAGCTTATTTTTTAAGAATAGCAATGGTAACTTTTTATCTTAAATAACAAGTTATTTGGATAATGGCTTGTATCTCTTGGGTAAAGGCTTGAAAGCTTGTGTACTCTCTTGATCTTTGATAGATTTAGAGGTACCGTGGCCTGAAAAGAGGGATTACATAGAATGGCTTGAAGATTTAATCATTAAGCTATCTCAAAAATGACTTGTAATGCAACTTTGATTACCCCACTTTATAAATTCGAAACTTCCAACTCAAGAAAGATAAATTCATGCTCTTGAACATTTTGGAAAGCTTGAAACTTTATCTACAACTTTCTTGTTGAACACTTTCTTTGAATCATCTTGGATCTTAGTGAAAAATGGTCATGAAGTTGAGAAGAAAAAAAACTGACCAAAATTGTTTGGTAAAATTCTTTAAGTGTTGGCAGAACTTCTCATGCCCATAACTCTAAATTTGAGCATTTTATTGGAGATCAACCCTCAGTGACAAAGTTGCATAAATTTTCATTCCCTACATATTTCATATTGGAAGTTTTCTTTGAATCAACTCGAATCTTGGTGAAACTTGCTTATGAAGTTAGGGTTATTTTGCGTACAAAACAGTTGAAAATTTTAAAGTGTTTTAAAAGTCTTCATTTTATACTTTTGTTGAGTTTCTTGATTCTTTTGATTCTTGATGATCAATATTGACAAATTTGAATGCTCTAATGACCATTGATCCTTGAATTCCAAAGTTGACCAAAAAGTTAAAGTTTGACTTTGGTGTGACAATTGACTTTTCGTGAGTTGGTTTCAATTCTTTTGCTATCAGTCAATTGTATCTTTGTAAATGTCTTGAGCCATATAATTAGGTCAAAATGGTGCATTTGAGTTCTTTGAATCATGCCTCGAGCCATTAGGTCATGCAATGAGCCAAAAGTCAATGACCCACCTTCTTCAATCAAAACCCTAATTTGACCGAGACTTGTATTGATGGAGTTTTCTTGATTCAAAACTCTGTTGGACACAAAGAGCAAACACAAGTTATTTTTGTATTTTATCAGAGATGCAATGATGCATACGAAGTGGGGATCTTGGGTCAAAAATTAGGGTACAACAACACCACAACAACCATTTCAACCTTTCCCAAACGAATCGTTCACATCAATGTTGTCATTCAACCGGCCCGATCGCACACCATAACCCGAATACACCCAACTACTCTAGCATGGGTCGCAAATTCAGTTATGACAACACATCATTCTAGAACTTATTAGAGAATCTGCTGATGGCGATGTTCCTAGGACTTCAAATCCTCAAACACCTGGGGTGAATCAACAAAGTGTGTTAGGGCCACGAGCTAGGATACCTAGGGTGTGTGGAACTGATGACTGATATGACCAACCCGATCAACATCGTTAGTGTTTTTTTGGTTTTCCTGTGTAAATGTATCCTGAATCTAATATTAATATTTTCAAATTCGACTTTAATATAAACTATCAATCATTATTAAATTAAAAAAAATCATAACACACACTGTTGACAATTGAATTGGCATCACTTTTAAAAAAATACACATAGACACCAATTGAGTTGACAACACCTAATCCATGTGCTAATCCTGACACCTTTTCTTTAACTTTAGGTGCAGGCGCCAATTAACCTGACACTAGTGCTTCATTATTATTATTATTATTATTTGAGAAAATAAAGTATATTAAAAAATTATTTGAAATGTGGGTTATTTTGAATTTTTTTTTGAAAATATGAATAAAAAATTCAGTATTTTTCAATTATAATTTTATATTAGAAGACCTCTAATGATTTTTAAATGGGCTAAAAAATTAAAAAAATAAAGAAAATGTTGTCTTTAGAAAATAAACACATAAGCCCAACCATGTAAAATAAGGAATTAACTCCTGACCATTCACAGCCGCTCCCTACTTTCTCTTCTCACCGGTACGGTTCGTCCGGAGTATATCGCTTCAAAGCGGTTTATGACTTAGCTCGGTTGAACCGGTCAAACCGACCCGGTCGGTTCACAGACTGGAGTGGGTTCGAAACACAAGGTTTAAGCACCACAACACAAAACACTGTAGAGTAAATTGAAGGTGAAAATCAGGGTTTTAGGGTTTAACGATCCTCTAAAAGATCTCCTATGCATCACAGAGAAGATAATTAGCCTCTCAAAAATGAATCTTTTACCGGAAAATGGTTGTTGTACTGAGGTAAATTTTCCTTCTTTCTTCTCAATTCTCAATTTCAGATGCTTTCGGTTTTCGATTTAATTTGAAATCCACATTTTTCTGTTTTGATTTTTTGTCCGCAGCTGAAGAAAAAGTATTCGAAGCTTCAAGAATCACGGAATGCTCTAAGAGAAGCTGTGAAGCTGCTCGAACAAACTGTTAACAAGTTCCAAACTCAGAATGTGAGCCTCAAAAAAGGTGACATTGAATTTGGAATCTAGTAATGTAAATTGTTCATGCTGAAATGACTGATTAGAGTTACTAATAGTGTGTATGATATTGATGAAAATGTCGAGCTTCCATACGTAGCCGACAAGTGATAATTCAAAGAAATGAAATTAATGGAATAGAATTACTAGTGTCGGTGTCTATGACAGCATACACACTTTCAATTTGAAGTGTCGGTGCTCGATAGGATGACACTAAAAGTTATTTGAATAATCACTAAAAGTTATTAATTGAAAGAATTGTATGTTTAAACATTCTGCAGGTGTGTATTCCGTAATTCAAGTCCCTATCTTTGGCTAACTATGTTTGAATAATTTGATAGATTTGAATGTTTATGTTGTTTTTCCCTTGACCCTTTCTTTATCTTTTTATCTGTGTGTGATTTGGAGGAGAGAGTGTTATTGAACCAAATTTGTTAACTTGTATTTTTTGCAGCATACCAGGAAGAATCAGCTAAGGCAAAAATTGAAAAAGAGGAAAAGCTGAAAGAATTCAATGCTAAGGTTTTGTTAGAGAATGAAGTTTCTGCTTTAAAATCTGAGATCACTGCATTGCAGCTGAAATGTGACACAGTTGCTCAGGAAGAACATGAGGATGTGGAAGCTTTGGAAGCCGATATATCTGATAAGGAAAAGGAAATTGATAGATTGAAGAAAGTTGTGGAGAAAGAGAAGAAAAAGGCCGAGTCTGAGAGGAAGGTTGTTGAGAATGAGGTTTGTGCCTTAAAAGCTGAGATCAATGCATTGCAGCAGAAATGTGGCACAACTGCTCAGGAAGAAAATGAGAATGTGAAAGCTTTGAAAGCTGATATATGTGATAAGGAGAAGGAAATTGTTAGATTGAAGAAACTTGTGGAGAAAGAAAAGAAAAGGGCTGATTCTGAGAGGAAGGTTGTTGGGACTGAGGTTTCTGCCTTAAAAGCTGAGATCAGTGCATTGCAGCAGAAATGTGGCACAAATGCTCAGGAAGAAAATGAGAATGTGAAAGCTTTGAAAGCCAATATATCTGATAAGGAAAAGGAAAATGATAGATTGAAGAAACTTATGGAGAAAGAAAAGAAAAGGGCTGATTCTGAGAGGAAGGTTGCCGAGAATGAGGTTTCTGCCTTAAAATCTGAGATCAATGCATTGCAGCAGATAAGTGTCACAGTTGCTCAGGAAGAAAATGAGAGTAAAGCTTTGAAAGCCGATATATTTGATAAGGAACAGGAACTTGATAGATTGAAGAAACTTATGGAGAAAGAAAAGAAAAGGGCTGATTCTGAGAGGAAGGTTGCCGAGAATGAGGTTTCTTCCTTGAAAGCTGAGATCAATACATTGCAGCAGAAATGTGGCACAATTGCTCAGAAAGTAAATGAGGATGTGAAAGCTTTGAAAGCTGATATATCTGATAAGGAAAAAGAAATTGATAGATTGAAGAAGCTTGTGGAGAAAGAAAAGAAAAGGGCTGATTCTGAGAGGAAGGTTGCCGAAAATGAGGTTTCTGCCTTAAAATCTGAGATCAATACATTGCAGCAGATAAGTGTCACAGTTGCTCAGGAAGAAAATGACAATAACGCTTTGAAAGCCGATATATCTGCTAAGGAAAAGGAAATTGATAGATTGAAGAAACTTGTGGAGAAAGAAAAGAAAAGGGCTGATTCTGAGATGAAGGCTGCCGAGAATGAGGTTTCTGCTTTGAAATCTGAGATCAATGCATTGCAGCAGAAACGTGGTTCAGTTGCTCAGGAAGAAAATGAGAATAAAGCTCTGAAGGCTGATATATCTGATAAGGAAAAGGAAATTGATAGATTGAAGAAACTTGTGGAAAAAGAAAAGAAAAGGGCTGATTCTGAGAGGAAGGTTAGCGAGAATGAGGTTTCTGCCTTAAAATCTGAGATCAATGCATTGCAGCAGAAATGTGCCACAGTTGCTCAGGAAGAAAATGAGAGTAAAGCTTTGAAAGCCGATATATTTGATAAGGAAAAGGAACTTGATAGATTGAAGAAACTTATGGAGAAAGAAAAGAAAAGGGCTGATTCTGAGAGGAAGGTTGCCGAGAATGAGGTTTCTTCCTTGAAAGCTGAGATCAATATGTTGCAGCAGAAATGTGGCACAATTGCTCAGGAAGTAAATGAGGATGTGAAAGCTTTGAAAGCTGATATATCTGATAAGGAAAAAGAAATTGATAGATTGAAGAAGCTTGTGGAGAAAGAAAAGAAAAGGGCTGATTCTGAGAGGAAGGTTGCCGAAAATGAGGTTTCTGCCTTAAAATCTGAATTGCAGGAGAAATGTGGCACAATTGCTCAGGAAGAAAATGAGGATGTGAATGCTTTGAAAGCCGATATATCTGATAAGGAAATAGAAATTGATAGATTGAAGAAGCTTGTGGAGAAAGAAAAGAAAAGGGCTGATTCTGAGAGGAAGGTTGCCGAGAATGAGAAAAAGAAGGCTGCTGAAGCTTGTAAGTTATTGGAAGCAGAGAAGAAAGTATCTATGAATAAGGGGATGCAACTTTCCAAAATCGAGGCAGAGAAGGTTGAAGAGTATAGGCTTCAGCAAGTTCACTTGGAGAAAGAAGTCACTGAAACAAAAATGAAGCTGGCTTCTGAGTTGTTGAAGTTTAAAGAGGCAAGCAAAAGAGTTGAAGCGGAAAAACAGAAGCTCTTGGTAGAAAAAAGGAATGCTGAGTCAAAGTTGAAAAAAGCTCAAGAACAGGTAGGGGTTGAAAAACAGAAGGCAGTTAGAGAAAAGCGGCGTGCAGATGAGGAGCATGTTAAAGTAGAGGAGCAGAAAAGGCTTGCTCAAGATAACTGGAAGAGTGGCAAGGAAGCAAAACATCTTGCTGATCAGAGGTCTCGGGAGTTATTAGAAAATAAGAAGACAATTGAGGATTTGAAACAGAAGATTCAGGAGCTTTCATCTCTAAGAAAACCCAATGAAATATCTGGAGTATCTTCTAATGGGAGTGCTGAAAGTGATAAAATACAGCTTTTGAAAAGCAGTTTAGAGCTTGAAAAGTTACGTGCAAAGCATGCAAGGGAAAAGTTAAAACATGAAAGGAAGAAGTTTGAGCATGAAAGGATGAAGTTTAAATACGAAGAATGTTGTCGTAACACTTTCCAGAAGGAATTGCACCGCATAAAGCTTGATTGTATTCAAAATTACAATCACCTTACTATGCTGGATGCATCCTTTTCACATGTCGCTGGAAGTATGCATGGCCCAGCTAAGGTTTGTTTCCTTGCCGAACTTCAGTAATATAAGTTCATAGTAAAGTTTGTTATTTTGCATCCTTTGATCACCATGGCACATATAGGTTTCCATATGAATGTATAATAAGTTTAATATTGATATCGATGCTAATAATATGTCTTTCAATGTTAATAGTTAACTTAATGTTATTACACAAACTACAAGAGACAGCTGCAATGGTAGTAGAAAACAGCTTTTATTATGCATTACAAATTTTCTGTTAAATCTGAAATGGAATCTAAAGTCACTTCAATTATTAACACATGGATAGTAATTTTAGGATTGGCAGAAGAGGAAGAGAACTCCTGGTAAAACTGTATTAGTTGGATGAGTTTTTGCTAAAAGCTGTATCTACTGACTGCATTGGTATTTGAACACAATCTTTTGCTCATGTTAATTTTTGGCTTATAGTTTTTTGTGGTTTAGTTTCTTTAGAAGCAAAACTTATGTTGGTAACCAGTTTTCTCTATAAGTGTAGGTATGTAGATAAAAGGGGCAGGCTAGCTGTATGCAATGTATTTTGGATACGAATCTTATGGTTGTGAAAAATAGTCTTATAGCTCCCTTTATTGTTACTTTTTTCAATGTGTTAGTGGTTCTTACTGTGATAATTTCTAATGGTCTATTTTTCATTGGATATGGATGTTTTATGATGAACATAGATATTGTAAAGGGTTTGGTCTTAAGTTGAAGTTTTATACTTCGAATATTTCTTTTAGATAGTTATGTACTTGTGTTTTCATGTATATCTTATACCTGTACATATGTTTGATCACTCTTTTTTCTGCTGGATGATTGGATTGCAGTGTCAGAATATGCCCAGCATGCAGAAACCTGATGTCATGACTCAACTCTGCAATCTAGGTATGCCTCAAATGCACAGCTGTGTTGAAAATGAGCTTACGAAGCCTTGCGGCGTAAAGGTTGGTGCGTGCGATTCTTTGAGGAAAAGCATGCAGAATCCTCCACTTCTTGCTATATCTGAAGGGAATTATACTGAACCCATCACAGGTACTGGTTATAAATTGGAGCCTCTAATAGGAGGCTCAAACAGAATATCGACACAGAGTTATGCACTAAATTCTAGTACAGCATCTTTTTCTGATGCACACTTGATGGGCTCACAGGAAAGAGGTGCTTTGCAAGTTACCACATCAACAAAATCAGCTGAGGAGAACTTCAATGCAAGATCAAGTATGTTGAAACCATTTGACAGATCAGTTATTTGTCATGATGGAATAAGGAATAGGATTTCTGATACAATCGAATGTGTTGCAAATTTGTCTTCTGAGGGTAAGAAGTTAAACACACAGCTAGAAGATAAACTCTCTGATTTATGTGGTTTATTGTATGACAAAATGAACGAATCCGTTGAGGGAGGGAGAGAGATGGCCACTAATCATAGGGATAATCTACATGCAGAGAGTGACAGGCCCCACAAGAAGAGAAAGAAATCTCATAGGGAAAAAGAGCATACACCTGGGAATGAGAAAAAGAAAGCAGAAGACCCAAAAGCTGGAGTCTATGAGGATGCAGATGGCTTCAGACAAACCACCTGTCCTGCATATAGGGACAGGATATTTGATGAAATATATAGTGGAAATGCTATGAAGTTGTTAGATTTAGAAAATGCCGTTGATGAGGAACGCTATAGAAGAGCCATGAGTGCACCCTTGTCACCACTATCTCTCGAGACTGAAACAGTTGCTTTAAATAATGTGGAGCCTTTTCAGGACAAAGTTCTTCATACAGACTTGTTGAATCAAAGAGATTTGTCTCCTTCGACTAGATGTGATGTCATTGATGTTGGGATGAATTCCAACATGCAAAAATTTGATGCATTTACAGTTCCTTGTAATGGAGACAAGTCAAAGCAGGATATACCAACTGATGTAACATTGCAGGAAGCTCATTCTTTGGAAAATTTAAAGGATACATCTTTGGCAGAGATTGGAAATGGATCTTTACACAATCAACTTCCTAATTTTTGTCTCATAGTATCAGATAGGGATGATAACAGTAGCATATCTAGGAAACTTCTTGCTACAAGGAATTGTATAGCACGGTGCAGTTTGGATACTCAAACAGGATGGGAAGTTGCTAGCATTCTGACTGCAGTTGACATGGAAGAAATATCCTCACAAAAGTAAGACTCTAATTTTCTTTACTACTTCGTATCAAAGGCATCTGGTGCTGAAGCATGTGGGTGTCCGACATTGAAATGTGTAGATGTCCGACATTGACACATGTAGTTACATTAGAGTTCATTTTCTCAAATTATTACCCTTAGACATGCCAGTGTTGTGTTCGGTATCCTTGCCTGTATAATTGCTTAATAGTTATCTACTGAATCATTTTGCTATATAGTTATTATGAAGGCAAATGATGGTCATTATTTCTTTTAATTTCTTTCAGTGAGAAGCTTTCCATGTTGTTGACACTTTTGCTGTTCAACTTTACCATGACTGCAATGAAATTTAGTGAAGGCAACTTAATCCTTTGCTTGAGTTCTTATGCTGAACACATCTGTAGAGGTTTGTTCAATCTCTTTCTTGTTTCATTTGTGTTTTTGTATATTTGAAACAATGTTATGCTAGATTCACTCCCTCTATTCCAAATTAAGTGTCATTTTAAGCATATAAAAAATGCATCAAAATAAGTGTGTTTTGCTTTTTCAATGTGACAATGATTATCTTTTTCCAATTCTACAGAGTACACACAAATTTGTACAATGAGTGCCACTTTCCAAACATTATACTCCACTATACGTTTATGACAATAGCTAATAGCCAATTGTTAACGAAGATACTTGCAACATTCTGTCAGTCATTTATAGTTTTTCTTAATTTGCGTGAAAATCCTGGAACGGCATTTATTTTGGAACGGAGGGAGCAATTATAAAATTTGTTTGTGTTATACACCAAGTTGTACTTGTGTTACTAAGTTAGTTAATCTATTTAAATAGTGAGTTGCATAAGGAATACCAAGTGTTTAAGTCTTTTACATTGATATTAAAACTGTATTGATTAAAAGTATATTTAAGTATAGCAGTTTTGATTTCATGTAACTTTTGGGCACTATTCTGTTAAACCTATAACTTTTCTATTTCTTGGGCAGTTCTGGCTGATGCAGACACAAGGATGTTGCTGTTAGAAAAAAATTCGTTGCTGGAGCTGCTCCGCCTCATTGAAGATTTTCTCATAGAAGGAAAAGTTATATTAAAAGATATAGTACCTACTGAGACCCCATCTGATAGTGATTTGAGAAATGAAAATTTTCTGGATGGCCTAGACACGTTAAGTTCTAAAGTAGCTATGGATGAGCAGTTGGTAGCGGCGGGTATTATACTAGCATCAATATGTGCTGCAACTGATTATATTGGATTTCTTTCCGAGGCATCATATAATATTCTTAGATTGTGCAGATATGATTCTTTTATGGTGCTAACTATTCTTCACATTTTTGCTAACCTGGGTGGAAAAAAGTATTTTGACTCGTGCAGTTTTGGCTTGATGGTGACCGTCTTGAAATCTCTAGTTATGTTTCTTGAGGGAGGGAGCATATCTGTCACTCCTGCTTCTTGTCTTCCATCAATAAATCAGCTGAGTACTGATTTATGTACTAGCGTTAAATGCCCTTTCTCGGAAGGTGCCGAGTCCATTGATGTTGTTACATTCTTGCTCTTAGAGAAGATCAAGAAGCATCTATTTCAGCAAGAAGGACAATTTGATTCGTCATGTTTCAGATCCCTTTTAGACAATTATAATAATGGACAGTGGTCTAATCAGGATGTGGTTCCATGTACCAATAGCATAAGTTGTGATGCGTCATGCTGTTTGAAAAACCATGTGGCTTGTCGTACTCAACCAGATGTTCATATTGATGTTACCTTATGCCAACTTAGTGACATTCTCTCATTGTTGGAGCTTGTTGCAAACAAAATGGTATTTCTTTTTGTGCTGCAAGTCAATATTATCCTTTCACTAAGTTATCTTTTAATGCTCCAATTTTAAATGGCATTAGTGTATTGCTGTACTTTCCTTCCCCCTCAGCAAGGTTTTCCTTTTTGGAAGTCACTTTTATAATTGGAAAATAAATACAATCTATGATTAATAGAAATCCTACATTATACATTTAAACATGGCCAGTGTCCAAGAAACAGATATCAGTTGTAATTTGCTGTTTAATTTTCCGAGACAAGTGGATTTTTAAATCTGGCGCTAAGATATTTGTACTTGTCATCCTGAAATATTAAATTTTGGATTTCAATGTTGTCTTTCAACAATATCTTGGTCTATGGTGGAAATCTATTGACTTATTGGACCTTTGTTGTAATTAGAAACTGCAAGGATAATATTCACCTTGTAACAAAATTACTTTCATGGTTCCTTATATTGATGCTTGTTTCTTTCTACATCATCATTAAAGCTAGCTAATCTAAGGGATATTCTTACAACTTCTGTTTGTTGTATGGGTTCATTTAAAATCATCTCTGGTTGAGTTTTCAAATGTTTCTTTGAGTGGTCTGATGAGTGACCTGGATATATCTTTAGATCCTGGTCTTCTGGCTTGATAGCTTCACCTCAAACCCCTTTTCTTTTATTCTTCAAATGTTTCTTTGACTTCCTCAATGAAAACCTAGTCAAATTTCTAATTTTTGTTTTTGTTTTCATCGACATTCAACTTGTCTTTACACAATTGCTAACTTTTTATGTTTTCATATTTCCTTTGTTTTAATAATTCGAAAGCCTGATCATGTAGTTTTCTCTTATAATTCAGGGCTGGCAATGGACCAACACAAAACTTGTTCCTCAGCTGCTTCATGTACTGGATTCTTGTGTGGTGGAGAACGCTGCGGTTGCTGTCATTGCTCTTCTTGGTCAGCTTGGAAGGTAAATTGACCTTTGTTTGATAATATTGTTTCAAAGTTTATTTGTTCCTTTTTCTATTCTTTTTAATCTTTATCTTTGTTAATTGTGTGTTGAATGTTTTACTTATCAGGTTTGGAGTTGATGCTGGTGGGTATGAAGACCAAGGAGTTGAACACTTGAGATCTAAGTTACTGTCTTATCTAAACAATTTTTCCATCAAAGCAGGCACTTCTCTTCAAATTGCTGCTGCCACTGCTCTGTTTGGTCTTCTTCCTCTTGATTTAGAAGCAGCTTTGAAGAACGAGTTTAATCTTTCAGCACATTCTAGTAAATCTATTTCTGATGACGCTGCAAGTTTAAAGAAATGGTTTTCTGGGCTAGCGGAACATCAAAGGGAATCGCTAAATGGCATTTTAAGATGCGCTGATTAAATTTTTTTAATGAGTACTTCAAACGAATTGATGTCAGATTTTTGTTCCCATTCATCGAGGTTTTTCGTTGAAAAGCTGTACAGGTTATAGGAAATTAGGCAGTTGAGAGCTTTGAGATATTGGCTGCTGTAGCTGTCAAATTTTGTACACTATTTTTTGGGGGATAATATCTTGTTTCCATATTTTTATTGGTTAATCTATGTACATTATAATTTTAAATATCGATTTTGTATCCAAGTGGCGTTTATTGTCCAAATTGTTCAGTTCAGCAATTGTATTTTTCTATTGTTGATACTCCTATTAGTTCTTAACATGGTAGGATCATCAAAGAGTAGAACTTCAAGTAGTATTCTCTATCAGATATTTGTAAGAACTATATTTATGCAACATTAAAAACATCACAAAAACCAGAAAAGCAATGTTTAAGTATTATATCGGTATCATACAACATTAAAAACACCAAAAACAGAAAAGTTAAAACTATATCTTTTATTTGGCTATTTCATCCAAACAACACTGCATCAGTGCCTTATTCCCAGTTCTTGCTCTTCTTGTCTTTTAGCTGCATAGTTGAAACTTGAAGTGGTGGAATACTCTGTTCATGTCTGAACACATTTTCAGGATCAACTTTGGTCTTAATTTTCACCAACCGATTGAAATTATCTTTGAAATACATGTTACCCCAAGAAGTTGCTTGTATAAAGCTTGTATCATTCTTCTTATTCATTCCCAAATCGAGATCTCTATAGTTCACATATGTTTCCCTTGGAAACTTAGACACATAAGGAGTCATGTAGTTATAAAGCTTCCTAATCCAATCAACATGTTTTGATGCATTCTTATCTCCATCTTGCCAAAGAGTTAGATACTGAATTTTGTAAAGTGTTCCATTTCTGTGAGGAAAAGGGCTATCAGATTCCGAAAAGTTGTTCATCATGCCTCCATATGGATTCCAGATCATCAAAGGACTGTCTTCTTCTAACAACCTTTGCCATAATCCTTGTAAACCTGTCTCTGGTATAGCCTCTCTTACGAAATCCGACTTTGCTTTGAAGTAATTCTTGAATGTTGATTTTCCTTGAAGCAAGACTTCGGGCGGTGTATCGTTCGGAAAGCCGGCAATATACATAACAGATTTGATCCAACTAGTTTCCAAGCAATCTTGTTTAGTCAAACCTAATTCCGGAAAACTTTCCTTCATAACTTGAAGGAGCTTCTCCGAATCACCGAGGAATTGAGCATTGTAAGAAGTAGTAATAGTTCTTTGAGTTTTGTTTGCAACACTAGCTGGCTGAATGATAACTCTCATAAAGAGATTTTCATCAATATTTGGTGCCACCTCTTGCCATCTATGAGCAATCTTAGTTCCATCTTGTTCTAAGCTTTTCGTAACGGTAAAAACCGTCACAGTTTTCGGAACAGGAACAAGCTTAATCTTCCACCAAAGAAGAATACCAAAACTTCCTCCTCCACCACCTCTAATAGCCCAAAAGAATTCTTCCCCCATAGATTTTCTATCAAGAATTTCTCCGTTTGCATTTACGATTTTCGCGTCTAGAACATTATCAGCTCCAAGTCCATATTTTCTCATCATGGATCCATATGCACCTCCTGTTATATGTCCACCAACACCTAAACTTGTACAAAGACCTGCAGGGAAGCCATGAACATCACTTTTCTCATGTATTCTATAATAAACTTCTCCAATAGTAGCACCGGTTTGAATCCAAGCGCTATTATCTTCGATATCAACATTTACATCGCGAAGTTTGCCTAGATCAATGATTATGAAAGGCGTTTCGATCTCAGAAACATAAGATAGTCCTTCATAATCATGACCACCACTTCTCACTCTTAGATGAACACCAAGTTTCTTTGAACAAACAACACCTACTTTGACATGAGAATCTGTTAAAGGTGTGAATATAAACTCGGGTTTCGGAGCAGAAGGTACCAAATACCTTAAATTCTGTGCTGAAGAATTAAGGACGTTGTTGAATGAAGCATTGTTTGGTGTGTAAATTGTTGCATAAAATGGTGCAGCTTTGTCTGAATAGAAACTCAGACATTGGACAAACTTTTCTTCAAGAGAAGATGATTTTGCTAATGAAATTGTTGATATCAAGAGGATTAAAATTGCTAAGTTTGAAGTTGGTGATGAATACATGGTTTTGATTTGTGTTTGTGTTTTGTTTCTATAGTTTGTGGTAATGTGATGTATTTATATATAAGCTATAGTGCTAATGTGATGGAACAATTTTATTTTTACGTGTAATTTGAGCTAAGGAAAACATCATAAAGTTGAAGAGTGTTGGCGTTATCTTGAGGGAATGTTTCATATTTTAATTATGAAAGTGTGGAATATAAATTTTTCTGATATATCTTTGATTAGAAGATCGTCGACCTTATTTATGTTAGAATAATCACTTTCAACTTGATTTATTTTAATTGTTTTATACTATCAAATTGTACTTCATAAATATTTTTTTAATTCTTGCAAATCTTTGTTTCATTTTTATATCAAATTCTAATACGGGATCTGCAAATCTCAACTAAAAGAAATCGTGTTGTTAGGTTTGATATTTATCACCAAGTTTCTGTATTAAAAAAAATAGAATTACACACAGATCATTTATGTGAAAAAATAGATGAATTTAATAAATATGAATTGAATTGTTAGTAGATGAGTCCATCAACAATCAATTTAAATATTAAATAAAAATATCCAAATGTTTTTCAAAAATAAAAAAGTGATTCTCTTTAAAAATTAAAAAAAAATGAATGAAGGGATATTGATTTTCTAAAAACATGTTAATAAATAGATTGGACTGGCTGGGAGCCTCACAAACTATGAAATCAGCCTTAACTGTATCGTCATTAAACAGCCAACCATAGGCATAACATAGACTAACAATTAATAATGACATTCCATAATAGTGAGGACCGTAGTATGGATCGATGGTCAGATGTTTTCTGATACACAAGATCCCCGTGTTGAGGCAAGTGTAGAGCATACTTGCATTTGATATGGAGAATTATGACATGAATACAATAACTAAAGCTTTTAGGGAGAAAGAAAAGAGAGTTAGAACATTTTGTTCTTAAGCACACAAGATGGTTTTTATTCTTATTGCTTATTACTTGAAATATTACAAGAGGTCTCCTTTTATAGCCAAGGAGATTCACAAAAGACAAAACCACACTATTTACAAACATGGCATCATTAATGCCTTCTTTCAAAAGTCTGACACCCTTATCCCTTATGGATAAATTATTGTAGTACTATTACACAAAAGGACGCAACTTAACTATTTATAAACATGCTTGTGATTAATAAGAGACACTTGTCCAATTAGTCTTTAAAGATAGGTTCATGACTTGGAGACATATTCTAATCGGATAAGTATTCTTCTGAAAAGAAGTCTCCGTATGGAGATGTCTCTTTTTCCCATACGTCATCCATCATGTAAGCATGGTCTGATATTTTTCTATGAACTTCTTCCACGTGTCCTTCTGAGAATTCAACTTCCATTGAGGAATCTGCTTTTTGTTGTGTGGCTTGAATTGAGCTTTCTCCAACCTCTCGATTTTTATACTGAGCTTGATGACTTATACACGTGGAGTTAGCATTCATCTTGTCTGGTTCATGGAGGTTGATGAAGTTAACATATTCCATTAATTCTCTTGTGACTTTTAGATTTGGAGGATAATCATCAATGGTTTCCCATATATGAACATAATTCTTACAACCAAGTAACTTAGTGGCAGGATCTGTTTGATAGGGCCTGTGCATGAAGAAAACAGTCTTGAATTTGCTAATAGCCTCTGATGCTAACCCTCTTTCTTTGACCTCGTCTAGGATTGGTTTTAATTGATCTCTCCACCATGTTAGCAGAGAGTACCATTCAAGAGTAGTCCAAATCAAGGATTTGTGGTTCTTCGGATCCATTATGTGTTCATACATGACTTCAGTGGGTATGACGACAGACATAAAATATAAAGCAGTGGCACACCAAATATATCATAAATGATTTTTTGTGAATTTAGCATTAGGGTTTATTAAAATTGGTAGGAGAAATGGTGTGTATGGGAAATAAGGAGTATGGTCAGGGAGTTTATTCCTTATGATTTTTGTCATATAATAAAAAATATTATTCCTGGCATACTGCTTAAGCTGTGAGGGTGAAAAGGATACAATTACTCCTGGAGGAAAGTCTTTGGTCTTGGAGGCACGGGTTGGCAATGGTTTGACCATGAGAATCAAAGGAAAAGTGTGCTTGGTAGTAATGATCTGGATGGGTTTCATAGGCCTAGAAAGTAAATCAGGAATCACATTTTGAGTTCCTTTGATATGTTTCACAATAAAATCATATCTAGAAAACCAATCTTTGAGCCTAAGAGTTTGAGGATCAGGAGGCATCTTATTTTTGAATTCGAGGATCTTAGGAAAAGAGGAATTATCCATCTGGACTTCAAACTGATGACCTCTCAGATGAAAGTCAAACTTTTGGATATCATTCTTAACTGCAAGAGCTTCCTTATAAGTGGTATGGTAATCTTTTTCAGCTTCTTTGAACTGACCACTAGCATGACCACAGTAATACTTTATTCCATCAATTTCTTCTATGAAGACGGCTCCCCAGTAATGATCACTGGCATCTGTCTGTAAGATTATTTTACCGTCTCTCGGGATCTTTAAGGCAGGTGGGATTTGTGCGATCTTTTTCAAGGCTCTTACTGCTTCAGTTTGCTTTGTTCCCCATGGCGGGGAGTTTTTCTTCAACATTTGAGATAGAGGACTCGTGTATCTTGCCAGTTTTGGCAAGAAATCTCTGATATAATTAATTTTACCAAGAAATTGCTGAATCTGCTTAACAGTGAGATTTTCATCGGGAAAGTTTAACAATTCTTGAGCAATATGAGACTGAGGTTGATACTTCCCTTGGGAAAAATGAATTCCTAGAAAGTCAATCTCTGTTTGGCCCAATTGGCTTTTCTTT